CCTGAGCCACCTGCATCCATCGACTTCCTACATGTCTCACCAGGTCGTCACTCCATCTAGGGGGGGGTCGCCCTACACTTCGCCTACCGGTACGAGGCTGCCACTCGAGAACCTTTCTCCCCATCGTTTGTCGGTTCTTCGAGCTATACGGCCAGCTCACTGCCACTACAGCTTACTAATCCGTTGGGCTATGTCGGTTACTCTGGTTCTACTGCGGATATCCTCATTTCTAAGTTTATCAAGCAGAGGCACTCCGAGCATAGCCCTCTCCATAGCTCGCTGAGCGACCTTGAGCTTCCTCATACGGCCAGCAGTGAAGGACCACGTCTCAGATCCGTAAGTCACCACTGGCAACACGCACTGGTTGTACAATTTCGTTTTTAGGTTTTGAGATATGTCTAACGAGAAGACGTGTCGTAGTTTCCCGAACGCTGCCCAGCCGAGATGAATCCGTCAACTGACCTCTCGGTCGAAGTTGGACTTACCTAGTCGGACTATTTGTCCCAGGTAAACATACTCGTCAACAACTTCGAGCTTAGTGCTCCCAACAACTACCGGCATAGGTGTGACATGGACGTTAAACATGATTTTTGTTTTGTCCATGTTGATCTTAAGACCTATCCGTTGGGAAGCACTATTGAGGTCATTGAGCATAATGCTTAGGTCCTCCAGCGATTCTGCCATAAGGACTATATCGTCGGCAAATCGAAGTTGAGTGATGTACTCGCCATTGATGTTAATACCGCATCCTTTCCAGTCCAGTAGCTTGAAAACGTCTTCCAATGCAGAGGTGAAGAGTTTCGGGGATATAACGTCACCCTGTCTTACACCTCTCTGCAGTTGGATAGGTTTCGTACTCTGGTTCTGTACTCGGATAGCTACTGTACTAACACTTCAGCACTTCGATATACCAACAGTCAACTTGGCACCACTGAAGGGACTGCAGCACCGCCCAAATTTCAACGGAATCAAAAGCTTTCTCATAGTCCACATACGCCAGACATAGTGGCAAATTGTACTTTTCGGACTTCTGTACAATTTGCCGAAGGGTATGTATGTGGTCTATGGTGCTAAAGCGCTTTTGGAGATCGGCTTGTTCGGGAGGCTGGAAGTCATCAAGTATGCGCGCGAGACGATTCGTAATGACTCTCGAAAACAGCACGTAGACGCGGCTTCTGAGCCGCGAAATCGGTCTGTGGTTCTTCAAGAGAGCGTTGTCACCTTTCTTGTAGAACAAGACCACCGCACTTCTGCTCCAAGCCTCCGGTGTAATGCCACCATGGAGGACGGAATTAAAGAGCTTCTGAAGGACTTCAAGTACCACCCGCTTTCAGAAGCTCCGCTGTAATTCCATCCTCGCCTGGGGCCTTGCTGTTTTTAAGGAGCTGGAGAACCATTCTAATCTCGCTCAGACTGACGTCCGGGATATCTTCGGAATAGTGTCGGATAAGACTCGCTCTTGGATTGTTACTCACACTTGCGTGTGGCTTCAACGATGACGTGTACAGCTGCCCATAGAACCTCTCAATCTCACTCAAAATCTCAGGTGCCCCGGAAACGATGCTGCCACACTCGGTCTTCAGCTTTGACAGTTGGCTCTTTCTGACAGACAGATCTCTGGCAAATACTTTGGAGCCTTGGTTCCGCTCGATCGCTTCTTCAATACAAGCTGTATTGAAGTTGCGTAAGTCCCGTCGCATGCATTTGAAGATCTGTCTGTTCAGTTGCCTGTATGCTGTCAAATCTGTTGAAGACTGTAGCTTCATCTCCCGTCTAACAGCCATGAGATTAAGAGTGTGATCGGAGAGTTTTTGTGTTCTTCTGCGGCGGGCGCTTGAAGAACTTAGCTCCAACCGCATGGACAGATTCCACGAGCTTGTCATTCATATCGTCCAATTCATTGCAGTCTTCTAGGCACTGAAAACGGTTTTGTAACTCGAGCTGAAAGGTTTCGGGACTTTGGAACAGAGCACGAGGGGGACGGAGCGTTGACTTCATTAGACGAGACCTCTCCAACTTAACGTTTAGGTTCAGTGTGCTTCTAATCATTCGGTGATCGCTACCAGTTTTCAACCTCGCGATCACGGAGACATCACTAAACAGTTGTCGTCTGGTCGTCATAATGAAGTCAATCTCATTTTTTGTCGAACCGTCGGGGCTCGACCAGATCCACTTCCTGTGAGGCTGCTTCTGTAAGAAAGAGTTCATCATAAAGAGTCCCTCTTTCTCCATGAAATCGGCCAGCTGCTGGCCCCTTGGGTTCCGTTGCCCTATTCCAAATTTCCCTACTTTCAGCTCACCGTTCTCTTTTGCCTAGTTTTGCATTGAAGTCTCCCATTAACACTGTATATTGGGTTTTGGAGGAATGCATGGCTCTAGAGATATCCTCATACATTTCCTCCACCTCCTAATCGGGGTGTGCCGAGGTTGGTGCGTAAACCTGTATGACCTTCAGCGAATAACGTTTGGTGATTCTGAGTATAAGTTACGCAACTCTCGTCGACACACCCTCAATCTTTACAACGTTGTTAACGAGAGACTTGTGGACGATAAATCCGACACCTCCTTGGGACAGATGGTCCTCCCGGTGATAGAACAAGTGAGCGCTCTGAGGAATTGTTCGGTTTTATTCCAGCCGCCAAATTTCACGAACGCACATCGCGTCAAAATTCACGATACCATCCTCACCATCTGTATGTTTGACGGGCCACCACTGTGCGTTTTACTAGGAGTTTTCTTCCTAGTACAACTTCTCTGTGGAATTGTTAACCACCGGCGATTTTTCCGGACCGATACGACTTAGGGACCTTCAAGAAAAGAGCTCACTCCTTTCTTAAAGGCTGGCAACGCACCTGCAATTCCCCTGGTGTTGCGGTTGTTTATGGGTGGCAGTAGTCACTTACCATCACATGACCCGCATGCTCGTTTGCCCCCTTTTCTATAAGCAAACGTACGACGAGAAAACCCAAAAATCTAAGTGCTTGATTGAGGGCTGAATACGACTATCAGGGTGGTTTCTAGAGCACTCATTATACCCAAATTAATCCAATAACGGTACTTGGCACGACCTGGGACACGATTTAAACCCAGGACCAAATCATGATTCACAGTCACGCTAGTAACCACATACAAACAGACAAAATTATATAATTTCATGATATGTATTTAGTAAAAATCTGTTATTTTGACGTTACGAACAGACACTTCAATTTTATTTATTTTAATAGTTTCGTATGCGTAAAGTATGAAAGTTTGTAAAAAATTCGAAAGTGATTACTATATTATTTTGATCTTGAGGCATTAGAAAACTTGGCTGCACTTTTAATAATTCGCTTTTATAATTCAATACATGTTCGTAGATATATCTCTGATGATGTAGTTAATTGAGAGTTATTAATAATTACTTTAAATAAAAGACAGGATTTTTTAGTGTATGTATTTGGTTACAGTCGACAGCAAAGTATAGCCGAATTTAATCATAATGATTTGTTAGATTCAAATTATTTTTCTTTATTAATTTCAGTATCAGTTAATTTAATTTCATCTATGTGGTTACCTTGCACTCTATTTAGAAAAACTAATATTTTTAGTAGCATCTTGCACGTACACAGCATGATAAGATTTGCTCCAATTTCGCTTTAATGAGACGTGATAAATGGTAATTTCTTTTGTTAGAATTCTCTGAACATAACAAACAATTTTTTGTCGTGTTTAGACATGACTTCTAGTTAATCTTTACACCTCAGAAGTGGTCATTATTAATTTTGCAAAGACTGAGATAGAGGTTGATCGTAATTACGAGCTTCAGAATTAAAAAAAAATCTGTTAATCTGCCTCACTTTAGTCCTAAAAAGAACAAAAATACTATAACATATAATTTCATAAACTTTTTAAAATATTGTGTTCTGTTAAGAAAGTTCATCATTTATTGCGATATATTACTAAAACTAATGACATTGAAATAAAGATGCTAGCGTAATTTTAATAGAATACGTTAAATATAATTAAAGTCAATTTAAATATATAACGTCAAATTAAACTTGATATCAAAACTTAATTTTAAAGTGAAGATAACGCATAATTAATTGAAACAGAACTTACATCTGTTATTTATAATACGATCGTTGCGGAAAGATGAAAAAATATGAGGGAGTTACGTCACAAGGCAGTCGCGTTGATGCAATGAATATATCGTGCATGTGTCTAAAAACCTCGGGAATTAAACAGTGGCAGCCGTACAATGATGGGTGCAAGCGGGGTAAGGGAGAGGGGGATATTACAAAACTTGGTTTTAACCGGTTAATTCTTACTACCTAAACCGAAATTTGTGAAAAACCGGTATTCCGCAAAAAACGGTTTTGGGGTCAATGACCTAAACCGGTTTAGAATTTCAACCGGTTTCTGTTGCTGTGTTTAGTATGGCGAGGGTAGAGAACCGGAGACTCTTTTCACTGGAAACGAGGCATTCCATCTTAGCCGTCAGTGGTAACAGCACTTCATCTGCATTGTGATTCTTAATTGAGGATAAAGTTAGAAGTCTATGGGGTCGAGTTCACCTGAAGATGCCTCGTGTAGAGGCGAAACACGTGTCGTATTGTCGTCAGTGGTGTGTCTTTCCTAGTGTAGTGGTGTTGGGAGTAGTGGTGCTGGGATTAGTGGTGACGGGGATAGAGCACGCAATTGAGGGAGGTCGGGAGGTACTCTTCATACTAGGTAAGACACGTCATTTTATATAGCGGATGTTTGCGAAGTAACTTTTTAAAAGCTTGAATATACTACATACAAATGTCAATACTAACAACACGCTCAACGGTTTATTTAAAAAATGATAACTATTAATATTATAAACAAATTTAATGTATCATGTTCCCACAATGTTCCATACAATCAAACGCACATCATTTACTATATTAACTAAACGTGCCTATTTCAATAACATTATCCAGTATCTTGGACTTATTACAAGTATCAATAACTCTAAACAATTAATTTCAAAAAATTCACATAGATTCCATCGCGTGTTTTGCTTTGAATATTCTGACGGTGTTGTCACAGGAGCCGCTGATGAGTAGCGATGGATTTGACCAATCGCAGCATAGAACTTTGTCTTCGTGGCCAGTTAGGTCGTAAAGTGGCGTCCTTGGACTGTAATTTAAAAAAAAATTTGTTGACCGTGGAGTTATAAAAGCACAATGTTATCTTTAAAGTTTCATCCTAAATACGTCCCACACTGTTACGCACAGACCTCTTCTCGATGGTAATGGAGTTGAGAATGGGTTATGGAGCAATGAGGGATCTACGACTTTTTCTGCTACCAGGGTGGCGCCACTTAAAAATGAGGTCTAATATTTTACAGATTTCATAGCGGGAAGTTAATTTGTTCGAAAAATAAAAAGGTTAACGTTTCTTTCTGTACTATTTCTTAAATTTTATATTAGTTATATTAAAAATAAATAAACCAAACCACACATATTCATACAAGTAGAAAACTTAAAAAAAGAAGTTAAAAATGTGCAAAAATTAGAGAGCATTTCACTGAAGCACTGTTTTGTGTATTATTATAATACTCTGGAAACTGATAATTTTATTTAAAATTGCTTCTCAATTAAATAGCAATGTATAACAAAACACTTTACCTCAGTGTCAACTAGCGACATCTGGTGAGTGAAAAATTATTAGCCCTCATTAGTTCGCCGGCCTGCTGCAGTACGTGTTGGAGGACTTCACGTGTCTCCAAATATATTATACCTAAGACATGCAGTTTTCCTTCACCGCCTAGCATATTTGTAAAGCAGCACATAAAAATACAATTGACAATTTCATCGGCACAGGTGGGGATCAAACCTGGTCTGCTCGCAAATTACTAAGAAATTGACAACAAGTGCTTAGCCTCTGAACTATCACGGCTCATACTATCTTTATCTCAGATCAATTATCGCAATTTGATTTTTAACAATTTACGAAAAAATCTATAACTTATATCTAGCAGTGGATATATTTATACTGGCCCAGCAGACAACTTCTGCCCTTCGTTCTGCCCTTCCCGGTAAATTTATTTTGGATCATAAATATAGAAAATGTTAACAACTTGACGACAGCGCCACCTATCGGTATCCAGGATACCAGGAAACATCGTTTTGACAAAAAATATATTGTGTATATAACCGGTCAAGTTGTTCAGAAATTACACAATTACTAACAGACCCATCACAATTACGTAAATACAATAATATAGAAACATTTTTAAGAATGCATGAACCAGACTAGTTGAAAGATTTGCCCAATATTCACCACGCCTAGTAGGCAAGTTGATGAACGCATCACCGATATTCTCGCGATAGATGCGAGAGCACTGATGACGCTGTAACTACTCTTGGACTTAGATTCAGTGTTTGAAACGAATATACCATCATTCATCGCTCGCCAGAGCCTCGTTCATTGAACGGCTGAAGTTGGCATTTAGAAAAGTTATAAAAACAACTAACATGCCGTCAATCTCATACCAATCCAGTATTAAATAGCACAGACCTTCTAGTTTCCCAGAGTTTGACTTGTCCGTCATATCCAGCGGAGAGAAAAAGCGTGTCACGTGTTTTGGACCAGCGAACAGATTGTACCCATCCAGTGTGAGACGTGAAAGTTGTTTTCACAATGCTTTCTAAAAAATAAATTTATTTTTATCTTTTAATCAATGTTTTTTGATGATGATTTGACGATGATGTAGCTTCAACACCGTGCTTTGAAGAGCACGTAAAGCCGTTGGTTCTGCGCCTAATCTCTTTCCGGTCGTGTCGTATTTACCGTCCCATCGACTATGAGAGTGAAGGAATAGACAGAACAGTTGTGCTTCCGCATACACTTTGGTTCTATAATCCTGTCCTGCTTAAATTGCTAGTCTCTGTTGAGACTTTTTTTTTATAGGAGAGGGGGCAAACGAGCATGCGGCTCACCTGATGGTAAGTGACTACCGCCGCCCATGAACAACCGCAACACCAGGGGAATTGCAGATGCGTTGCCGGCCTTTTAAAAAGGAGTAGGCTCTTTTCTTGAAGGTCCCTAAGTCGTATCGGTCCGGTGTGACCGAAATTCGGTCTGGAGGGCTTTTTTTTTAAAGTGAATCACACTCGCATTGAACAATAATCTTATTATCAGCAAATTACTTATACATTGCATAACACCTCGGTTTATTCTACTACCAACAATACCATATCAAAGGATTCAATATGTTTTCTCATAACACTCTACAATAGGAGCGGCCTTAACAAAGGCGCGTAACGGGCTATGCGATACAGACTCGCGCGCGGACGTAAGGTGAATTTTGATTTAAAACGCGCGCCGAAGCAATCGGTAGGCTATTATAACGAAGGTCGCATCCGAGGCGTATTATGAACACTAGCGACGTTGTAACTTGGTTTAAACTCGGAAGTTTGCTATCAGAGAGTGATTCTTCTATACTTGTACTATTATCTATACTGTGGCAGAATTTATTTTTGAATCTTAAGAGTTTGGCAGTTTAGCAATTATAATATGTGCATTATTCACCTGTTGACCTCGGATCATACAATCGTACATGTCTATCAGCAGATGCCGTTATCATGCTGTTATTAAGCGGTGACCAATCAGCATCGAAGAATGCTTTATTGCCTGAAATCAAAAACAACGTATTTAAAAAATAATACTTTTGAAAACCACAATAGTGATCATATTTATTTAAACTTGAAAATAAAGTTGTCGAAATTATCCTGAAGGGCCTTTTTTATAGAAAAAAGGGTGACAAACGGGCTCACAGTCCAACTGATGGTAAGTGGATTCTGTGGCCCATATATACCTACATCTAACCTTGACAAAGCATCAAAAAGTAGATACAATGTCACCCCCGAGGACTAAGATGGATGCCTAAATACCAGTAAAAACGGGTCGCAGGTTCTCGACACTTACATTATGAAACACATCAGCATTAAGCCGATCGATTGGTCGATCCGAACCTTTCGTACTGAAACCATAATAATATAGCTGCAGTGTAGATCTACTACATTAAGAATTGCACCAAACAATAACTCACCCGCTATCTCTTGTTTGATACCACCCAGTTCACAATCCCACAGTTTTAACAAATGATCCCAACTACTTGATAGTATTGTGTTGTAATCAATCCACTGCACAGCAGATACCGCCTCTCTATGTCCTTTCAATGTTGACATTGGTTCCTGGTAAAGATATCATTAGATATAAAAAAATACAAATCTTTATAATATAATTCTTCTGTACGAGTGGTTGTCACGGAAATCCTCCTAAACGGCTGGACCGATTTTGATGAGTTTTTTTGTGTGATTGAATGGGTCCCTGGATGATTTATATTCAATTGGACCCGGTAGGTGGCGCTGTTGTCGAGATGCAGAAATCACCCGTGCGAAGTCGTGGCGGATCTTTATGTTAGTTCATCAGTTAGTCCTCTGTAAGCTACATTACCCTAATGAGTAATAACATAATGAAGGTAAAAAGCCCCGAAAGTATCTTAAAAGTTGTGGGTTTAAACCCATCACACAACTAATAGCACCAACCGCTCTAGCTCAAGATTTTCAGCTAGTATAGGTGGTTAATCTGAATACTAGTAATATTGAGGGTTAAAGACAGAGATAGACAAAGAACCAAATACCAAAACAGCAAAGGGACATGAGATCAAAAATTTAGACAATATCAATATAAGGATTACAAATTACCCTGGAATTTCCTTGTTCTGGCTTACTTCTCTTTTTTGCAGGAACATTATCTTCATCTGTTAAACCTAAAAATCAAATACATCCTTAAATAAAGAAGATAACTCAAGTCGTAACAAAAAAATAAAAATATGAGTTTAGCTTATCTCTGTACTTTGTACTTAGTTATAACTCAAATCGTAACAAAAAATAAAAATATGAGTTTAGCTTATCTCTGTACTTTATACTTAGTTATAACTCAAATCGTAACAAAAAATAAAAATATGAGTTTAGCTTATCTCTGTACTCTGTACTTAGTTATAACTCAAGTCGTAACAAAAAAATAAAATATGAGTTTAGCTTATCTCTGTACTCTGTACTTAGTTATAACTCAAGTCGTAACAAAAAAATAAAAATATGAGTTTAGCTTATCTCTGTACTTTGTACTTAGTTATAACTCAAATCGTAACAAAAAATAAAAATATGAGTTTAGCTTATCTCTGTACTCTGTACATAGTTATAACTCAAATCGTAACAAAAAAATAAAAATATGAGTTTAGCTTATCTCTGTACTCTGTACTTAGTTATAACTCAAATCGTAACAAAAAATAAAAATATGAGTTTAGCTTATCTCTGTACTCTGTACTTAGTTATAACTCAAGTCGTAACAAAAAAATAAAAATATGAGTTTAGCTTATCTCTGTACTCTGTACTTAGTTATAACTCAAGTCGTAACAAAAAAATAAAAATATGAGTTTAGCTTATCTCTGTACTTTGTACTTAGTTATAACTCAAATCGTAACAAAAAAATAAAAATATGAGTTTAGCTTATCTCTGTACTTTGTACTTAGTTATAACTCAAATCGTAACAAAAAATAAAAATATGAGTTTAGCTTATCTCTGTACTCTGTACATAGTTATAACTCAAGTCGTAACAAAAAAATAAAAATACGAGTTTAGCTTATCTCTGTACTCTGTACTTAGTTATAACTCAAATCGTAACAAAAAATAAAAATATGAGTTTAGCTTATCTCTGTACTCTGTACATAGTTATAACTCAAGTCGTAACAAAAAAATAAAAATACGAGTTTAGCTTATCTCTGTACTCTGTACTTAGTTATAACTCAAATCGTAACAAAAAATAAAAATATGAGTTTAGCTTATCTCTGTACTCTGTACTTAGTTATAACTCAAGTCGTAACAAAAAAAATAAAAATATGAGTTTAGCTTATCTCTGTACTCTGTACTTAGTTATAACTCAAATCGTAACAAAAAATAAAAATATGAGTTTAGCTTATCTCTGTACTCTGTACTTAGTTATAACTCAAGTCGTAACAAAAAAAATAAAAATATGAGTTTAGCTTATCTCTGTACTCTGTACTTAGTTATAACTCAAGTCGTAACAAAAAAATAAAAATATGAGTTTAGCTTATCTCTGTACTCTGTACTTAGTTACACTCTAATCTATAGTTGATGATAATAGATGATCAATGGTTTACTAATCATTAACAACTAACCTAACATCTTTATCTTATAAAATTAAGAGTTGACAACAATGACATAGTCCACCTGATAATAAGTGGATTCTGTGGCTTATAGTAACTTACATCTGTCATCTATTAAAATTCAAAATGCAGACGTTTTCTTACCCCCAAGGACTAAGATGAAGAACCTCAACCAGTATAAAGGGTTTAACCACCAGCATTGTGCTGGTATTCTTTGAGTGTGGTCCTTCTTAAAATTGTTTGTGTTAAGGCATATGATTCTTAATCTCTATGTATTAGTAAACTATCAAGTAAATAAAATGAATATATGCTTACTAGTGCTCCAAATGCAAATACTATTGTCCCAACTTCCAGTTGCAAAACGTGTTCCATCAACAGCAACTGCAAGGCATTCCACTCCCTTGTCATGGCCTCGGCAAGTGACTACACAATCAACAGAATTGCGAGTTACATTCCATACCCACAGCATAGCAGACTGATCATGAGAACCACTGAAAATATTTATTCATTATTAGTTCTACTATAAACTAATAAATCTATAATCTAATAAATATAGTATAACTATAATAGCCTGAATGTGTATTACGTGTACACATTCAGGCTATTATAGTTATACTATATTAACAGTGGTAGAGCTAAGCGGTAGCTTTTGCTGTCGCACGCTCAAACCGGGGTGGTACCACGACCTCACAGAATACCAGCGTGAAGTAGAGGTTTACCTCTGCGTTGCGCTTGGTGAGTGCAGGTGGCCGGAGGCCCAATTCCCCCCCCCCCCCCCCATCAACATGGTAGTGGAATTAAATACAAGACTACCCCAGGAGGGTACCAGCACCCCTGGAGAATCCCTCGCTGAGCATCCACGACCAAACTACTTCACTCCTGAGCGTGGGTGCTCAGGCTGCCCCGCGTATTCTGGAGGGGGCAAAATTCCGCTCGTGACTAATGCTGCTCGGGGCAAGCGGAGCAATACAACCAAGGCGACCCCTGTCACGCTATTCGTGAATTTTTGCAACATCAGGGGACTTCATTCCAACCTTAACGCTGTCCATTACCATCTAGAGACGGCGAAGCCGGCCTTGCTCTTTTTAACCGAGACTCAGGTGTCCTCTCCGGCTGATACTTCATATCTCTCCTACCCGGGATACAAATTGGAACACTCCTTTGTGCCCCGGGCTGGAGTTTGTGTATACGTCAGAGAGGACATCTGTTTTCGACGCCTCGGCAGCCTTGAAGGTACGGATCTGTCCATCCTATGGCTGCGCGTAGACAGCGACGATCATCCCCGCGTCTACGGGTGCCTCTATAGGTCCCATAGCGGTAATGCCGACACAGACCGACTCATCGACCACGTCCAAATGGCTGCAGACTCCGTGCTACAACAGGTCCCATCCGCAGAGATCGTGATACTCGGTGATTTCAACGCCCACCACGCTGAATGGCTTGGTTCTCGTTTAACCGATCATGCGGGTAGATCTGTGTACGACTTTGCTTTGGCATATGGTCTAACACAACTGGTTACTTCGCCTACGCGGATCCCAGATGTGGAAGACCATGTACCTTCCCTGTTGGACCTTCTGCTGACCTCTCATCCGGACGGATATCAGGTCTCCGTCGATGCCCCTCTGGGCTCTTCGGACCATTGTCTGATCCGGAGTACGGTGCCACTCACGCTCCAATCGCAGTTGCGATCTGCAGCTTGCCGCCGTGTTTGGCACTATAGGTCAGCTGATTGGGACGGGATGCGGTCTTTTTTTGCATCCTACCCTTGGGGGCGGGTTTGCTTCTCGCCGGAAGATCCCAGCGTTGTTGCCGATTCTGTTGCTGATGTGGTACTTCAGGGTATGGAACTTTTTATTCCATCCTCTGTGGTGCCCATCGGAGGCAGATCCCAGCCATGGTTTGGTCGCTCCTGTAAAATAGCATCACGCTATAAGCAGGAGTGCTACCGGGCCTGGGCTGATGCATCAACGTCTCGGGATTTAAACACCAGCGCACTTAAAAAGAAGTATAATTCCGCCTCCAGGTCCTTCAAAAGCGTCAATGCCAAGGCAAGGTCTGAGCACATCGGCAGAATTGGCGAGAAGCTTGTTCGCCTTCCTTCGGGAACCCGTGCATTCTGGTCTCTCGCCAAGGCTGTCCAAGGGAACTTCTGTCAGCCATCCCTTCCATCTCTGCACAGAGAGGACGACTCACTGGCCCATGCCGCAAAAGAGAAAGCCGATCTGTTGTGCTCTCTTTTTGCGTCTAACTCGACTCTAGATGACGGGGGGAACACACCGCCGACCATCCCGCGATGTGAGTGCTCCATGCCGGATGTGCGATTTACACAGCGCTCGGTTCGCAAAGCACTCTTCTCCCTGGACGTCAGCAAGTCGAGTGGGCCCGATGGAGTCCCTCCCATTGGGCTGAAGACGTGTGCTCCGGAGTTGGCACCGGTTTTAACGCGTCTTTTCCGGTACTCCTACTCCCAAGGCGTAGTCCCGAATTCATGGAAGACAGCTTTGGTCCACCCGATCCCTAAAAAAGGCGACCGCTCAGACCCGTCCAACTACAGGCCTATCGCTATCACCTCCTTGTTCTCCAAAATAATGGAATCCATTATAAACTGCCAGCTCATGAGGTACCTTGAAGATCAGTGACCGTCAGTACGGTTTTCGTCGGGGTCGATCAGCGGGTGATCTTCTAGTTTACTTAACTCATAGATGGGCGGAGGCAGTAGAGTCCAAGGGGGAGGCATTCGCCGTTAGTTTGGACATAGCGAAGGCCTTCGATCGGGTCTGGCACAAGGCGCTTCTTTCGAAGCTTCCTTCCTATGGGCTTCCCGAGAAATTGTGCAAATGGATCACCAGTTTCCTTGCTGATCGGAGCATCAAGGTCGTAGTAGATGGTGCATGCTCTGATTACAAGCCTATCAACGCTGGTGTTCCACAAGGCTGCGTGCTATCACCAACGCTGTTTCTCCTGCATATCAATGATATGTTGCTAACTAGTAGCATTCATTGCTATGCAGACGACAGCACTGGGGATGCCTTATATACCGGCCGTGCCAATATTTCTCGGGAAAACGTCGCCGAGTACCGGGACAAACTTGTGTCTGAAGTCGAGTCTTTGCTTAACAAAGTCTCGGATTGGGGCCGACTAAATCTAGTCCAGTTCAATCCCCAGAAGACACAAGTTTGCGCGTTTACCGCTAAAAAGAACCCCTTTGTCGTATCTCCTCAGTTTCAAGGCACTCCCCTTGCTGCCTCAGCCAGTATCGGAATCCTTGGCGTCGACATATCGAATAGCGTGCAGTTTCGTGGTCACTTGGAAGGGAAGGCCAAATTGGCCTCTAAAAAGCTTGGCGTGCTCAGCAGAGCGAGACAGTATTTCATGCCGGCACATCGCTTGCAACTTTACAAAGCGCAAGTTCGGCCCCACATGGAATACTTTTCTCATCTCTGGGCCGGGGCACCCCAGTGCCAGCTCCTTTCACTTGACCGCATCCAGCGCAGAGCGATTCGAATCGTCGACGACCGAGTTCTTTCCGATCAGCTCGATACACTGGCACTGCGTAGAGATGTTGCATCTCTTTGCGTATTTTATCGCATCTATCACGGGGAGTGCTCTGAGGAATTGTTCGGACTAATTCCAGCCGCTCAATTTCACCATCACACGTCGCGACAAAACTCGCGTTACCATCCGTACCATCTGGATGATTGGCGGTCCACCACTGTGCGATTTAGAAGAAGTTTTCTCCCTCGCACAACTTCTTTGTGGAATCAATTACCACCAGCGAATTTTCCGAACCGATACGACTTAGGAACCTTCAAGAAAAGAGCTTACACCTTTCTAAAAGGCCGGCAACGCATCTGCAATTCCCTTGGTGTTGCGGTTGTTCATGGGCGGCGGTAGTCACTTACCATCAGGTGAGCCGCAAGCTCGTTTGCCCCCTATTCTATAAAAAAAAAAAACGTCTATCACATGTTTAAAATTAACTTCATTTCAAACTTTACTTCTGTAACAATGCTCTTTAAATTATTTTTGTATTGTCTATCTGATCCAATAACAGGTTTTAAAAGGGGTTTTTGTGGCGCTATAAGCAACACCAAGAAAATTAATATAATAACTGAGAATTTTTAAAGGAATAAAAACACAAAACTAGCAACATATTATGGGAGCACTGAGAGGCTAAGTTTTCAAAATATATTTTGTCCTTATTTCTCAGACATGCCAGTTTGCTCACAATGTTTATCATCACCGCCGAGCACGTGGTAAATCAGCACTTAAAATTGCACTTATCAATTTCATTGGTGCCGGTGGTGATCGAATCCGGGTTGCTCGCGTACTGTGAATTTAAAGCGAGCGCTTAGAGCTACCATGGCTCTTAACATTCTTAGGTATGTATTCCTGAAAACGAAAACACCACAGATCCTAGTCCTTAATCTCAACCAATATCAACATTCTAAATTGTAATTGTTGAATTGACAGGTGATATATTAAAGATAACCACATTTAAATGTGTGATTGTCTAATATCTCTTATATCAGATAACTCTACATAAATTAAACACCAGTTACATAATTTAAACACAGTTCACTTTTGTATTTAAACTCTTCATTTAAAACAAATATTTTATACTTTTACCACCGTTTTACATATCCCTTTTAATTTGTACTATTATACGAAATTTTCTATAGAAGCCAGCCTTTTTTTTTCATATTAATTTTATAGGAAAAGGGTGACAAACAAGCACACAGTCCACCTGATGGTAAGTGGCTACTGTAACCCATAGACATCTTCAGCTATTTACAACTACGAATCAAAATGCAGATGCATTGTCACCCGTGAGGACTAAGATGGAATGCCTCGTTTCCATTAAAAAAGGGTCTCCGGTTCTCTACACTCACCATACGAAACACAACATTATTTTACGCTGCTATTATGTGAGAGCATGGTCCTTCCCCAGTTGAGCTGGCCCATTCGTGCTACAATTACATGACTAATATAGCTGCAGCATGGCTCTACCATGTATAAAGTATATGTAAGAAAGGAGCATATATATGCGTTTGCAAAATCCGATAAGAGGCCAATGTGTGCAAGCGAGATAGTGAAGTATGTCCCTATTCATAAATTTTTTTGCATTTGTGCATTATATGCATATGAAATTCAGATAATATATGTACATAAGCAAACAAAACTTCAAATATTATCTCATAATCAATAAATGTTCGAATACTGCCACTGGGTTACGCTCAACCACAGTACATGCACTACTGTAGTCTAAAAGGTATGAGAGCCTTAGAAGTGACAACTTTAAATTTGTTTGTCACTTCAATATTTTTGAAATGCCATGGTCATGGTTAATACTCATTATTTTTTTCAATATTCATTTGTCTGAATATTTTATATCTGGCCTATACAAATTGTTGTTAAACCCTTGCTCCACAATGTCATTCCACAATTGTATTCCTCATTTAAGGAAGTTTCATATGTCAATATTACAGAATAAATAAAAGTTAAAATGAAGAAATACCTTGCAAAAACTGCTTGATCACCATTGAATGAGACCCAGGAAACACCTTTCACAGGTGAGGTATGTCCGGGAATAGCTAGTTTATGTTGACCTTTTGTATTCCAAATATGAATACTGTTATCATAACTTCCAGAAAGAATCCTGGAAATCACAAAGAAAATGTCTAGATATAAAAATTATCTTAAGCATTTTTGTCGTTTTCTGTCATGACAATAATAAGAAATACCATAATTAAATATACATAAGGCAATGAATGATCCCATGTAGTGGTGCCACACACCAGTGTAATTATGAGAGAACATTCTTATCTGTGTGTGCAAAAATTATCTACTTGAATTTCAAACTAATATAACAGCACTATTCACGCAATGTATCTCATGACTGAACAACATGTTTTGAGTTAGCGTAGTAGGCATATAGTTCACATATATCTAATATATAAAAAACAACAAATAACTTAATGCTTGCACTTGCACAAAAGTTATAGGCATAGTACAATTAACTTACAGTACGAGGTGTGCGTATCGTACCGACGATTTAAAGGTTATATATCATTCAACTTCAATGAATGTACAATATAATATAATTAATGACAATAAAAAAACTCTCACATCTGTCACCTAAAGGGGTAGGCAGAGAATACAGTGTTCCATTCGACACAATCCTTACACACCTCTTGCTTCTTTCACATTCATCTATATATACATGCTCATTGGCTAAGGGTACTCTTAATTGGACCCATCTTCAATATAATGCCAATTTTGTCAATAAATTTTCATCTAGGGCTTCCCTTGCAGACACTGCCATTCATTTCTGCAGCATAACTTTGCTTTATCACTCTTTCCAAAATGTGTTCCCATTAAATATATTACAATTAAAATTAAAATCACCACCTACCTAAGCCTAAGGAAAGTTTGCCATGAAGAAGTTTTTATTAATCAATCTTATTACTCTAATATGACGAAATATAGAGATCAGAGAAATACTTCTATAAGAGTACACAGGGTAGAGAACAGGTCCTATTAGAATTAACAACCATTTAGTATATTTATTATTCACTATAGAAGTCGGAGCCAGCCTGATACGGAACATCATACAAGATGATTGAATAAAAGAAATTGTAAATGTATCAGATTTTAAACAAATGTCGGATATTGGATTCCTCTAATGATTATGAAATATCAACCAAAATCATACATACATACATACATAAAACTCACGCCTGTCACCCAGAGGGGTAGGCAGAGACTACGGACTTCCATTTGGCGCGATCCTGACACACCTCTCTCGCCTCTTTTACATCCATATATCTACGCATACACGCTCGTCGGTTAAGGGTACTCCTAATCGGGCCCATTTTTAATGTATCGCCGATTTGGTCGATAAACCTTCGTCTAGGGCGTCCCTTCCCGACCCTGCCGTTCACTTCTGCAACATAAATTTGCTTTGTCACTCTTTCCTCGTTCATTCTTTCTACATGACCAAACCACCGAAGCAGTCCTTTATTAATCCTTGTCACAACGTCATCTTGCAAACCACACTTTTCTCTTATCACACTATTTCTCACCCTGTCATTCAGATTCAGCCCTAGCATACTCCTTAAGGAACGCATTTCTACAGCATTTATTCTCCTCTCATGCTTCTTCTGTCAGACCCAACTTTCACTACTATACATTAAAGCAGGGACTAACACAGCATTATGAATTGCCATACGTGCCTTAGTTGACACATTCTGACTCCTCATAATAGTGTGTAGAGCCCCATTCACTCTATTTCCTGCGTTCACTCGTCGTTCTATATCCTTATCATATCTACCATCCCTGCTAAATAAACATCCCAAATATACAAACTCATCCACTTGCTCAATCAACTCCCCTTCTATTCTTATTTCACATAAAGTTTTACTTTCTTCTCTTTCAAAAACCATCACTTTCGTCTTACTTGCGTTCACTTTCATACCCCTTTCTTTCAATGACCAATTCATTAAAGTTACCATCATTTGCAACTCGGCCGCCGACGATGCAAATATGACTTGATCATCGGCGTACAAAAGGCATTTGACAGTTGACTCACCCATTCTCAACCCACTTTCTTCAACTTTCAAAGTTTGCAAACAACTGTCCATAAATAGGTTAAACAGCCACGGGGAAGCCACACATCCCTGTCTGACACCTTTGTGAATGCCAAACCAGTCCGAGTAGACCCCGTTGATCCTGACACAAGCACTAGAGTCCCTATAAAGAGACCTCAATGCCTGTATCAAGCCAGCGCTTAACCCAAATGAGTTCAGTGTTTGCCATAACACATTCCTGTCCACTCTGTCATAAGCCTTTTCCAAGTCCATGAACACACAAAAAACTTTCTGGTTTTTGGCCAAAAACTTCTCCGCTATCATGCGCATGGAAAAGACTTGATCCGTACACCCCATCCCCTTTCTAAATCCAGCTTGCACATCCCAAATTTTTCCATCAGTTTCTTCCATAACTCTTTCAATTAACACCTTAGCATACAGTTTACCCACAATGCTAAGCAAGCTGATACCACGGTAGTTTTTACAGTCCTGCTGCGACCCCTTTCCCTTATATATTGGGACTATAACGGCTTTGCACCAGTCTTCCGGTACCCGCTTCAGTTCCCAACATAAATTAAATAAGGTGTACAGCAGGCCTGTAACCACACCCTCACCAGCCCTTAGCATTTCGAGTGATACTCTATCATATCCGGCTGCCTTACCTGCTTTCATGCTTTTCATTGCTTTCATTATTTCATCTACACTTCTCCCTACCTCTCTCCACTTCTTCCGGAATTTCTATTTCACTTATTTCAGACGACTCTTCACTCTTAAACACGCTTTCAAAGTATTCCTTCCATCTCTTCAAATTCGAAACTTCATTATTCAACATGCAGCCATTCTCGTCTCGTATAGCATTAATTCTAGGCTGTTTTGAATTTCCCCTGGCAGTTCTTACGAGCTTCCAGAACATTTTAATATTTTCCTGGAAGTTATCAGATATCTTTCTATCATTTTTATCTATCCTTTCTTGCTTTTTCCTTTCAACAACTTCTTTTACTCTCTTATTTATATGTCTAAATTCTGCCTTTTTTCTTTCAATCTCATCATTCATACTGCCAGAATTACCAGATTTAGTTGCTAGTAAATCTAGCCATGCTCTCTTCTTTGCTTCAACTTCCATCCTTACCTCATCATCCCACCACAACGTATTACTTTTCCTTTCATTCGTTCTCTTACTTACACCACACACTTCGGTGGCTGCATCCACCAAAACTTTCTTAATATTATTCCATACATTCTTCAATTCTAAATCATTCATACATAATTCATTCAACCCACTTATATTTTCCCTCAGTCTGCATTTATACTTCTCTTTCACACCTTCATCTTGTAACCTCTCTATTCTTATACGCTGTAACGCAGTGGTAGACACAGATGTCCGATGCCGCCAACGTTTGAATAGACCATTAATTCGGCATAAGACCAAGTAATGATCCGTCCCTACGTTGGACCCCCGGTAAACCCTTGTATCTACCACTGCGCTCCTCATTCTTTCATCCACAATTATAAAATCTATCATGCTTCTATCATCCCCTCTTTTCCATGTATACATGTGAATCCTCTTATGGCGAAAGAAAGTGTTCGCCAAAAAAGATTCTTTTCCACACATACGGTGAGGAGGTCTTCACCATTCCCATTTATTCTTTCATCGCCAAACGTTCCTAATATCCTTTCATAACCAGACCTCTTCACCCCAACCCTTGTATTAAAATCTCCTAACATAATAATATTTTAATTTTCCTTACATTTCATCAACACCAGCCTTACCATGTCCCAAAACTGCTCTCGGATATAAGTGGGCTTATACATATCTGGGGCATACACCCCTAGCACAAACAACTTCTTTAAGCCCACTTTCATTCGTATCCACAGCAGCCTTGGGCTAACACATTCATACTCTTTCACACATTGACCCATTCTTTCTGAGAGGATGACACCGACTCCCTGGCATGCCCGCTCGGTCTCGTCTACTCCAGACCAGTAAGCGGTATACATGCCATGTGCAGTGACATCTCTTCCCTTTCGTTTCGTCTCGTTCACACATAACACATCTATTCCTCTATCATTCATCATTTCGCATACTTATCATTCATTGCTCCACATACATTCAGCGTAGCCAGACGGGCCTCCGCAATCCACTTTCCCCCCCCCCCCTCCCCCCGGGAGACAGGAAGTGACGGGTGGCGAACCTCGTCGCCGGTTTTTCTCCCGGAGATTCTTCGCACCCCTGCCCCATTAAAGGGGCGCCGGGAACTCGGGGCCATTTCTATTTCTTCTAGGCTCATGGTGCGAACTAAGGGATGATAGATTTTACGCCACTACCATACGGCGAGAAGCCGAGTCTGTCGTTTCGGCTTTGTCCTATATATAATGTACTCTGTGGCTTTGTCGCTCGTGTAGCACCACCCGGGGGACACGTATAGGATGGGCCTAGGATTAGGTGGTCGAAGCCTACGGACGCGAGCGACTCCCAAAATCACTAACTATTCAATTACTTCTATTTTTTTTAATAAAAAATATATATCTTGATTTTGTATATTCAATTCAAATTATTACAGTATCAAAGAAAAAATTTAAATAAATTATAGTCTTTAAGATTATTTTTTTGACAATTAGGCAGTTATTGGTACTAATCTATGTAGATAGATATAGAATATCATGAACTTTTTTTAAATTTCTCAGTTTTCAAATATCCAATTTGTTACACTGAAATATAATGTACTTACATTCTTCACTACTACAAAACACCCAATTGATTCTTTAGTACATTTTATAGTTCTATATATTATAGTAAACACAGTGCATGCCAAGAAATGAAATTTTATTGGTGAATTTTTAATATCATGGATTAAAAACTAAATTAAGACAGACTCAAAAAATATATCTTGTCCTTTTCCCATGAAGGGCACAGGGAAAAAAGGAGCTCATTGACAATTTTACGTTTTTGGAATGAACTATACCATTTTACTTCGTTTTTTATGGCCAATCAGATCACGTTATTTTAAACACGCTAAAAGGCGCCGATTTTGTGTAAAGTGAATTGAAAAAAATTCTACTTTAGGATTAA